TTATTTATTTTCTTAAGTTTTCGCGGGTACTTACATGTATGGTATTCGGCTTTGTTCGGGTATTTTCCCACGTCATTATAGTTGTGCTTTTAAAGTTGTAGCAACGTTTCAGCAGATTCTCATCTACCATCATCAGGCTTCTGTATTGTGTTCATCTGACTCATAGATAGATAGATAGATAGATAGATAGATAGATAGATAGATAGATAGATAGATAGATTTCATATGATTGATTGATGCAATCATTGCTGCTATTTTATTCGTAATATTATTTCCAGTCACCTTAATTTGGATTCACAGCTGAAACAGATGCTCCCAACTTTTATGAATTGCACTTTATAGAAATGTGTATGAGTGAATTGCATTTGGTTTTTAAAAGAAAATAAACCCCCATTTAAATTGTGCTATTCAGTTATAAATACTCAAAAGAATTGAAGTTCTTTTGTAAAATACATTGGCATAACCAAAGTACTCCCTGTTAAATCACTGAGAAAGTTTCCCCCTGTAAAATTCATTGCTATGAAGTTTTTCTAGATGGTCTTTGAATATTCAAAGAAAATCTTTCCTGTAGCTATGCTGGCCTTTCTAGAGGACGCTGTTGCCTCAGTGCTTTGTGAAAGGTTTCTTTTTCGAAAAATGTCAGTGAAAATTCTCAGTCATCCAGGCTATAGTTGTCCCAAAAGTGTTTTTTCAAGAGGCAACTGCACTTTCTTGTTTTTCTTTCACTTAAAAAAAATGCTTTTCTAATGCTTTGTACAGCTTTATTGTAGAATAAGCATGTTATAAGTGATATGTCCATGATTGATTTTGTATTTATTAAACTTGCCATCCATACAAAATGTTCTTCCAGGATTTCCAAATACCACGTCAGGTGGAAAAGAAAAAAATAGTGGAAGAACCTGCACTGCCATCTACATCTGAGGGTCCTCTTTCATCCTTCCCGCACCAATTTTATGCATCTTCTCCTTTATTTTCCGTTCCTTGCCAAAATACGGAGGATGCTGCCTTACTCACAGATTTTAAGGGGGATCTTTCTACAAAGAATATTAAAGATGTTGAGCATGTTAAATTTCTGGCTTCTACCTCTTTAGATGGTGAACATGAAATAACACAGAATAAAAAGTGCAGTAGCAATAGTTTAGCTGTTGAATATTTGGAGCCAAATTTTCAGTTAGAAAATGCACTGGTCAGTTCAGGATATCACAGATTTCCACAGAACATTCGAAGCAGAGCTAAAATTATAGCACTTTTGAGTCATGACCAACAAGTTTCCAAGAGATTAGAAAATGAGACTACTGCCTCACTGAAAAATCTACAGTCCACAATGATGCAATCAGAATCCAATCCAAAAGTTTTATTGCAAAGAAAAAGCCAATGGGATGTTTACATGCCATCATGTTTATCTGATGTACATAATGCAGAAAACGATGAGAATATTCATAATTTGCAGTCAAGTGAAAAGAGCTTAAATGAAAGTAAATGTGTAAACAGAAGCCAATCCAATGACCATAAAGGGATTCCGCAAATGCCGCCTTCTTGGAAACTTGACATTTCTCCTCTTAATAAAAGTTCTACTGGAAGTCAGCCATATAACTTTTTCCCAAGTGAATCCTTCATGAATGACAGCAATAACTCTGAATTAAGTTCACTTGATCATGCTAATTTGAACTGTGGAAATGCACTTCAAACTTTTGAAGACTCATCAGAATCAAGCAGACATGGAATAAATGGTAATTTGGAAAGGAGTTGCCCTGGTACTGATTTTGCAAATCCAGGAAAACAGTTTACAGAAGTTAACTTTGATCTTTTAAATATGCTGGATTTTAATGGCACAGAAGATAGTGACCCTAATGAAAACAGCATTGTTTCACAAAGTTCTGTATGTCTAAAGCAAGAAATTAAAAATCAAGTTGAGGTCAGTGGTGAAAAAAACTGTGACGTGACAGCATGCAATAGTGAAAGAAAAGACAATGTACAATTAGAGTTTCTACAAGATCATGATTTGAACAGGATCTCAGGATCCCAGCCATTACCTCTTTGTGATGAAATTTCTACGAAGCCTGTCAACATTAAAGAAAACAATATAGCGATTTGGGAGAAAAAATGGCAAAATTCAGATGTTTTTATTAATGAGAAGGTAGACATAAATGCATTATATCAGAATGTGGATATCCACCAGCAATTGCCATGTGCAAGCAGAAACTTGATAATGGAAAATGATGTGGACTGTGAAATGCATGATAGTGAGTATTACACTTCATTAATTTAGAATAGAAAAAGTAATACTGGTATTCCCTACATTTTTGCTGCTTTGTTTATTTGCAAATAAAAATAATGTTCATAAAATACAGATATTGAAACAGGTATTTAAGGTAATAAAATAATTCTTCTGTAAAACAAAAGTACTGCTGTTTCCCCCATTGCATGTCAAACAAACATTAAAAAAATAATTTAAGTTAATTACTAATTAAATATAGCATACATGAGTAAACTTTATGATTAGATAATGCACAATGTATTTTCAATTAAAAATTAAAAAATCCAATGAAGAAAAAGATTTCAATTTATCCTCAACTGTTGATTCTTGTCTTCCTCAGTTGGTAAGTGGTTTCAGATTTATTAGTCTGTTTTGGACCATAGGAAGCCAATGTACCCAGAATGAGATTAATATAAAAAGGTTGTTGCTTTTAATTCTGTAATATAATATAGTTTGAAGTATTTTTTTTACTAATTTACCTAGCCCTTTCCTTACCAGAATTTTAAAAAACATTGCAAAATATGTACTGTGTAGAAAGAAGCTATAGTTGCTTTAATTTTTAGAAAATTAGATATTTTTGTGTAATATTTTTGCAATTTTGCACTGTTGATTACATGTTTAAAATTAAAATGTTCACTAATTAGTTAACAATTTTACTTTTACTAATTTTTAAAGCAGTAACGATACCTTGAGGGAAAAGAACATTATTGCTTTATATATTTTTCAGAAAATTATTCTTAAAGCGGCATACATCTGCTTAAGAAATAAAAATATCTGTAATAGTGGAATAAATTAAAAGTGCAAATTTTTGCCTACAATTGAATGTTTATAGGTGCTGTTTTTGGACAAGCTTCTATGTTTCTTATTTCTCCACCATTTTATTTGTGATGTGGGCATAATAATTACAATATTATTATTAAAACTACTAAATTTAAAAATAGAAATGTTGCCTTACTTATCAAAACATTTCCTGTAAGGAACAAATGAAACGTTCTCAGATTAAGTTCAGTTTTTAGTTTCTATTGTATTTTATTAAATTACTAATGCCACTCATCTCCCCAGACAGATGATATAAACCATTTTTCTTTGTCTCATCTGAAAAGCAGAGCACATGAAACAAATTTCTCATTTTTTCCCCTCAGATTTCCTCTGTGTTGATTACTAAGAAAAATATATAACTCTAATTCTTGATATGAATGCAGTATATATGAAAAGTGTTCTTATAATTTGTCATCATAAGATATAAATCTCAATTTATGGGAGAGTAAATTTATACTCTCAAAGGCTCGTCTCATGTCAAAAACACCAAAAGATGTTGATAATAAGCTTTACTTTGCTATGTGGCAGAACTGAGCTGATCTAAATTCAGATGCGTATCACTAGACTGGTGGAGGTGAACTCCCTGGCTTCTGCTTTTCTATAGCAGGCCTTCCAATCTCTACTCCTGGAAGATGAATAGTTTTAAAGGAGGAGACGAATTGTCTTAGAGCTGTGATGTCAAACCAATGGCCTGCGGGGGTGGGGCGTATGCGCGGGACGCGTACACATTGCATTGGGGGGATGCAGGTGTGGGTGCACGCTTTGGGCACTCAGTGCCGAAAGGATTAGCCATCACTGTCCTATATCATAATCTCAATCAGAGATTACCCACAACATGAGAGTCCAAGGTGTGGGAAAAAGGGAAGTCCTTATTTTTTTCAGAACTACAAAGGCAAATTTATATCCAATCTAGTGATTTTTAAAAATATACTCAAAAAGAGTTGCTCTTGGCATAATGTGATTGATAATACCGTTCGTAAGTGATTCTTACACTATTTGGTTTTTCTTACATAATAATTACAATTTCTTAATAATCGATGTTAGATTTTTTTCTAAAATTTTACTGTTGAAAATATTTTTTTCATTTCTTCTGTTTCTAATTTTTAGCTTCAGCAATTCTTCTATAACTTTGAATTCAACAATTTAATTTGTTGCTATTCTGACCAACCCTACCAAAATGAATACGTTTGACATATTCATATATGCAAAATCATTAATCCACCACAGACGTACACATATTGATTTAGCCTGATGACTGAAGTTCATTGTTTCTTTCCCCCCCCCTCCCCTTTGATAGTTAAACAAAGTTTTGCTGAAGCATATTGTCCTGAAGATGTGCAGATACCTTGCCTACATTCTGACTCACCAAATTTGGTAATCTTCTTTTGATGTTGTATCATAATAAAAAATTTCATAATCCAGTTTAGATATCTGGCTGACTGTGCAAACACCACCAACAATAGCTTTAATCTGTGTGTTACATCATGCGTTTTAAGGGGATTTTTCTATCTGCATTTTTCCTACTAACTAGTTATGCTCATGCTTGCAGGCCTCTAGAGTCCTAAAACTCAATTTATTGTCTGGGGATTCTCCAGAGCAAGGTTTTGTTGATGAAAAATATCTTCAGTCTCCTATATGAGAAGAAGTATCGACTCAAGAGATAGATAGATAGATAGATAGATAGATAGATAGATAGATAGATAGA